GGTGGTGGTGGTGGTGGTGGTGGTGGTGGTGATGGTGATGGAAAAAGAGGCGGAAGAGGATATATATCAGTCTGCCCACACTCCCTGCTGCCGTAAATTTCACTGCGTGGTAGATATCAACTTGAACACCGCCGATGAATTTGCCAAGGGTAATGAGAGGAGGGGGAGCGATTTTTTGCGGCTGGACTACCACTTGCTTTGAAGCAGGTTTCCAACCGTCTTGGAGCCCGTCCCTCTTTCTAGCTATGTCTAATCGCTGCTCCGCATTCATCTAAGGGAAGCAGCGCTGCTCAAACTCGAGCACCTACTTACCAGTGCCCTACCAAAGTCAGGTGATCACAGTGGGCATTTCCGAGATTCTGTGTTGCTGCTGAATCAGCTTGGCTACTCGCTTTCGAAGCCGTCGAGACTTCACACCCTCAGATCATGTAGTACCGCAATCACCAGAGCAGAGCCTGCTTCCGAATAAATAGCGCCCCGCCGGCCACCTGCGCCCGATCCGGCTTCCGGTCTGTTTGACTCCGTCTTCACGTCGGACCCCATGTGCATGAGGGAGGGGATATTGTAGGAGATGCGGCCCTAATCTACTCTGACTGGAATCCAATTCACGCGCAACGCACCCTCCATTGGGGAACATTGCCGGTAACGACGGTCGAGCTGTCGCAGTGTTGATCACGCGGACCCGACAAGTGCTAACCAGTATGAACAGCTGATTAACCGTGTGTTGGTCATGTGACTGGTCGTCACCTGGGCTGAGTCGGTGACGCGTGTTCACGTAGGTCGAGAGGTCAAGAGTGACAAGCCCCGGCGATCAAGGCGCCAGCCAGTGGTGTCTAGCCCTGGGCGTCAACGCAGCTGTCACAATGAGTTGCCGGGTCTTTTCGGGAGGACAGCTACACAAGGATTTTGCTGTATCTCGAGTGCTGTATCTCGAGTGTCTGCCAGCCCTCAGACTATGGGAAGTCAACTAAGCAAGGATGGAGTTAATGTGATTGTAGTTATACACACAACTAAGGAAGAAGTTCAGAAGAAGAAGAAGAAGAAGAAGAAGAAGAAGAAGAAGA